CCCCAGCCAGCCATGGCTGGCTGAGGAATTCTGGGAGTTGAAGTCCACACATCTTCAAGTGGTCAAGGTTGAATAACACTGGTGAAAAGGAGACAGAACAGTAAAAGTTCAAGCCTCAATTTGGATTGCGGCAACTGTTGACCACCCAACAGGAGAAAGCTGGGTTGACAAAAGTTGGTATGGAGATTTTGGGTCACAATGGCAACCCAAAGCCTACACTACACTATTTAATATATATTTGTTTAGTGTGGCCCATATTCCACGGGAACAAAGCAGGGAAGCAGGATGCTGTTTAAAAATGTAGCTATGAACTGCCTCTGCTATGAACAGCTTCGACCAGTTAGGTTTCCTGCTGATTTCTGCTTGTTTTTAAGTTGGAAAGACTAAAATAACTTACTTCTCTAATTTTAGCAGCCTTATTTCTGAATGCATATATTCCTCATACTTGTGCCTTTGAGGTAAGGCAGGATAAACTAATTCAAATAATTAAATAAGTGCTTTGCCAATTTTGTTCCATCTCCCCAACGTCTTCAGCGTATTAAGTGGGGAGCGGAAAGCCTGTCAACCAAGAGGGAATGCCAGCTTGAAAGTCAGCAAATACATAAATAGAAACAATTGTTTTTCACATTTGGCAGCAGTTTTAATTACGGAAATCAGTTCCAGGCTGTAATATGGAGCCCGCTCTGGGAGAGGCAGGACAATTTGTATGAGTGTGCATCTGGTTCCTGAAAGCATGGCTTTGAACATGTGCTAAACAACTGCAGCCACTTCCAGCCATTCTGAACTTTCACTTATTTTATGCAAGGATACCTATGGGATGGAGCCTAATTAATTTTTATTGAGGTTCAGCCATAAACATCACATTTCTACAGTCTCAAGCTTATCAAGAAACCAAGAGCACTTTCATTTGCTACTAATTTCACTGGAAGGCCATTCTAAGATGGAGTGCTGGCCATCTACCCCTGCTTGACTCTATCAGCTGACGGCCCACTGTCAGAGACACTGCCTTCTTCACCACCACAGTATTATGTATACATTGTTTTATTTTATTTATGAGTGTGTTGTACAATTTCATTTCTACATGGCCTGCACAAGCCTGATCTGATTTAAAAAATAGTATGGTGGGCTTGCGCAGGCAAAGCAGCAAGTGAAGAGAGAGACCATGGCTCTAACCATCTGTGAACCCCATCTACCAGTCACCACAGTTTTATTTATTGTTCAGATATTGTTTAGACATTACTTAGTTTTATTTATGGGTAATATTACACAAATTTACTTATACTTGGCCCAAGATGGATAACTCTTTGCTTAAGCCCCTTTTCCAGAGCAAATATCTTAAGACTCAGTGGCAAGCAGTGTATTCCAGAGTTAAATGGGAATTTGAACCTGAGGGTCTACTGTCTCTTTAGCAGCTTCCCCACATGGGTTTTCTATTAAAAAAAACTTCACTATATAACTCATACATTCAAAAGGTTTAGAATAATTCTCAGTTCAGCTATTCTCTGTTAGGTTTCTAGATGTAGTTCTCTAAAAGAGGGAACCATATATACTTACATGGTAACCCTTCGGAAGGTTTCAAGTGGGAGGATTTATCTGCCAAAAAAAGGAGAGGGATAAATGAAGGTTACTTATCTAGCAGAATTTTATGCACATCAGAAATTCTTAAATAGAATATGTAATATAGTAAGAAATCCAGTTAAAGCTGATCAAGTCTGAGGGCGTAAAGAAGGGGAAAGAAAATCCTTTCTGTCTCATTAACTGTCTCAGTGGAATAATCTTGAAAAATGTATGCAACAGAAGTTAGCAGGCAATGTCCAATTATTGCCAACTAACAAGTACTGGCTTTTTCTGTAAATAATTCCCATTTCACTCTTGGGGTATTATGATAAAATAGATGTGGTTATCCCAAAGACCAAGGCAGTAACTGAATGGGACACACGTAGATCCAAGGCAGTGAAAGTATACAGAGGCAAAATAATTTTACTCCCAAAAGAGTCTGCATAAAACAGTTTCTCCCAATCCAGAGATCTTTCAGAAGTGTGGATTTCAAAGCCCAGAATTCCCTTGTCATCATAGTCATTGCTGAGAGATGAAGCCCATAGATCGGGAGGACACTCTGATTGGAGAAGACAGGCATGAAGTCTGTGTAAGTTTTAATAGTCACCAGTTTACCAAAATCATTACTGATGTTCATATAATATATTAATATATGAAACATATATTTGCTAGTTGTACAATCTTCCATATCCTTAAATCTGTGCTGCTCCCCACAGCCTTAGGTCAAAAGTTTCTAAATATGTTCCTAATTTCACTAGGATTGAATTCACTACAGCAATGGTGTCTTCCACATAATCCAACCTTGTAACATAATAAAATCTGGAAGGATTTGTTTTCTCTTAGACATGCAACCATATCATACTTGATCACCATTAATGGGAGTCACGTGTGTGACATGTGCAGAGAGAGGAGAGTTGTGGAACTGAACATTCTGTTCTGATTCTGTATCTATGGCGCCTCCAAATTTCTTTATTTGGCTTCTGGTGCAGATCTAACAGGAATGGATCCAATAATATGGTTTGTAACAATACACACAACAACTGGCCTGTTTTGCATCAAAATCAGTGATAACTAATGTCTTGGAGATACAAATGCTCTTATTTAGTTGCTATCATTTCTAAGCCTTACAAATTTGCTCTTAGTTTGTAATGACAGTTAACTTCAAGGGCTGCTTGATTCATAATCAAGAGGGTAAATGGCAGCAAAGACACATTGTGTGTATACTATATGCTGATGCCATTTAAGCTGAATGTCTGAAAAATTCTGGGACTCATTCCAGTAAACATCCTACAATAAATTACCAGTCCTTAGTGCTCTATGTTCATTATCAAACTCTTTTCTTATCTAAAATAAGAAAAATCTAAAAAGATCTACAAAATATCTGGTTCAATTTAAACTACCGAGGCACTAGATTCCTTGGAGAGTTGAACCCAAGTGACATCAATTCTTGCTTATCCAATGGGGTATTTTGCTAGCTATTGAAATTCACAAGACTCTATGGATATGACCAGAAAAACACACACAAAAAAACAAGCATTTTAATTGCATTGCGCATGGAGACCAAATCTTTCTGTGTTGTCCTCAGTGGATTCATTTGTGTCAAGAATAAAGATTTGCAAAACTCCTTGCAGTCTCAAATAGCTAAACAGAAACAGTTGTTCTTCACACACCCCAAGCAGTACACCATGGTATACCATCAACTGCTTAAATGCCAAAGAAGCACTTTCTATGTGCCTGAGGTTAAAGGATTTCTGATCTTCAGCTTTTAAAAAATCTCCCCTAGAAAGCATTCCAGAATTTCAAACAGTCTTTGCATGCAAGGGAAAGATTTTGATCTCCATCTGAAACCACTGAAACCCTCTAATTAATGTGCCATGTCAACACCAAATGGGAGTGTGCAAGGCTGAGGTTTTAAAAATAAGTTTAAACGCTCATGCTTGCTGCTGTTGCTAGAGGGGCCCAAAGAAAGGCTAATTTCATATATAAATGCATTGTTAGCTGTATTCTCAAGCTTTTGCCATACATATAAATCAACCCTGATTTTGAAAACATTGGTCCAACTTCAACTTGGTTAGCATAGGTTGTGGGGCTTGCCATGTTTGATCAACCTTTCCTTTTTCAACTGTAGTTTATATTCATCCTTTACTACATACTGTATGGGAGATTATATTTTGTAATTTTCCACCATTTTTCCAGTCATGATTGGGGGAGGAGGTGGGGATAGAAAGCACAACAGTGATTTCTTTAAAAAAACAACAACCAAAGTTGAAATCTAGGATGAATAAGATAATGTTGACTTAAACAGCCCTTTCCAAGCTGGTAGCCATTGTCCATGTGTGTGTTGGGACTGTATATTCCATAGTCCCCAGCTAGCAGTAATGCCTGAATAATTTGGGACAGAGATCACAATTTTGGATGTAGACTATGTTCTGTCTTATCAACGTGTTTCCAACTACACAATGAAAAGAGCCTTTGTATACAACTTCAGTTTATAAAAAAAAATGTTCATTGCACTTAGTTACAGAGAGGCAAAAAAGATATATATTCATGCAGTATTTCAGTTTTTGGCAGCTTCAGACAAAAAGTAAATTAAAAGTTAGTATACATCATACAGGATTGTTTCTTTTCTCATATAAGGGGGGGAGGGAATATATTGAACTAACAATATATTGAGGCAGACAAGGGTTTCTTTATAATGTAACCTCTTCCTAGTTCTACCTGTGCAAATAATTTTTGCTTATCCAAATGACTGCACACTTTCTTTACTCTACAAAAAACAGTCATATGTTCCTATCCGATGGATTCAACTGATTAAATTAACCAGCTAACTGAATTAGGTGAATTTAATTAGGGGGTAACCTTGGAAAGCCTTAGAAAACTAAATTCTAAATAATGTGAGAAAAGCTATTTTAGAAAAAGCTATTTTTAAGACAAGCTATTTTTAAGAAAAGTAATTACGTGGAAAAAATAAGTCAATATAGAAAGTAGAAATGTGGCTTGTGGTCCTCAAGACATGAAGCACCAGAAGGCAAATTCCATGCAGTGAAAAGTTTCACCCAAGCAGATGGAAGCTAAGGAAATTCTCATATACAACAAAGGATAAAAGATAAAAGGATAAAAGGATAAAAGATCATTCCAAGGATAATCTAGAGATATGTTAATTATATATTTCCTCCTCCTGAAAAATAGGTTAACCCTCATACAAATATAAGGATAAAAAGAAATGGTTCCCTTAAGATAATCATTTCTAAATATATACAGGCATTTTCTTTGTGGCCGTAGCCTTTATTAACAAAAACACACCATGCTTTAGAATATTTTCAATACATTTGAAGTTCCACTCCAATTACAACGGTTAAATAAGTATTTACAGCCCCAAAGAAAGAAATTATACAGCTTTCACAGTGCCTATAGCATAATGAACGGCTGGAATCAATTGTGTAGCATTATTTAATGTTTATGAATTCCATATTGTTATATAGAATCAGAATACATACCTTCTACGAGTCCTTGGGCAAATTACATTTGAAACAAGATTTAAGGAAAATAAAAGTGCAAACAAATCTTAGTGTTCAAAAAATGATGGTGCCCTATAGACCAGGAACAACAATATCCAGAATGCAAAACTGCATGTGCCTGGAGGCAAATTTTTACAGAGATTCAAAACATGTTCAGTACCTTCTGGCTTCCCTTTAGTTATCACAGCAAGAGGTTTGGTGAAGGTTTTCTTATTCTGCATCATTGCAAGGATCATATCAACATTGAGAAAGGTGCAAGCTTCATCTGGAAGGACACACTGCAGGATGGAGACAACAGGCAGCTGGTAAGATCAGGGACGCGCTGAAAATATTTATGTTATCAGGGCAGATGTGCATCATCATCATCATCTGTGGTATTTAGTAATATTTACTCAAGAAGGAACACAACTTGATAAAAACATTTTCTAAGTCCTGTTGCAAGAAATCCCCTCAGCTGCATTTCAACTTTGCCTTGATACTAGGTTTACTTAAAACTCTACCAGTCCTCAAGGCTACAGAAAGTCTCTTCTCTGTGATGTCCATACCAATCCACATGTTGCTTCACAAGTGCTTTGAAAAGGTTCTTCTGTCTCCCACCCCAATTGCTATCTTCATTAGCACAACTCACTCCTGCACTAGATGATGAGACTAGTCAGGATGATTATTTATCTGCTCTACGACTGTTCAATTTTTTTTTTTCCTGAGTGAAAAAGTAGTATTTCCCATTTAGAAAAGATGCTGACTACCTTAACATTTTGGAACAAAGAGACTTTTCCCTGCTTAGAGGTGTTTACTACATCTATAAAATAAATACTTTGTGTGAGATAAACAATAAAAAGAATGCAGAAATTAAGTTTAAATACTCATTTATTTTCCTTCAAAATCCTCTGAAGCAGGCCAAGCTAATAATTCACCAGTGGGAGTTCAGAAACAATAGCATTATTTTATCTCAGCAGGATCTGGAAAATTAATGCAAATGCATTGTTTACAACAAATGCTATGAACACTGAACAGTGTCAATAAATCTGAACCCCTTCAACAATAGAACACACTTTCTATTTATCACCTGTAATCATTTAGTGGAAAATATGTATCATGTTGTCAAGAGCTACAACAGTTTTCATTGGGAAAACTCAACAAATATTCTCCCACTGTTGTTAATTGCAATTATTCATAACTTTTTTAACCTTTGGAATCTATGCCAATGACAATTTATACCAAGTAGCTTCAGTTCACCTAAGTTCAAGTGAGTTAACCTAATGGTTAGTGACTTCTTAAGAGAATTTTTCAGCTCCCAGAGATTCCCAGCTGACATGGCACATTGGCTACACTTGATGAGCTGAAGTCCAACAATAGAGAAAACACAGATTGGATGAGATGAATGGATTATGAGGATAATTGACAGAGGCCTGGCTTATATGCCTATAGAACATTCTGGGAAAACACTGAATATTCTTTAGAATATTCAACCTAATCTTAGCAAGGGGGGGGGGGAAATAATTCTTGACAATTACAATCTAAAGTCTTACTACAGAAGATCTTCCAAAACTGATTGTTCCTTCTGATTCAAATGCTTTCACGAAACTGAGCTGTATATATTATTCTTTTTAAAAAGTTTGTTTTAATATAAAGAAGAAGGAGGAGAGGAGGAGGAAGCATAGAAGGGCGGGGGGGGGCACACAACAAAATACCTATTAGGTTACATACAAAAAAATATCATTCAGCCACATTTTAGTCAAACCATTAATCCTTGACCATATGAAATTATATTCATCCTTCCTTCCTTTATGCTGTAAAAGAGCCAACTCACAGACAGAACGTTCATATTATACTACACCTCAATATTATAACAGCCCAAAATGCAAAAGAGTAGCTTCATACTATACAAGCTATTCTCAAAAAGCTCAGTTTGTCATACAGAAAATGTATTGGTTAACATTAACTGTTGCTAATTGGTTTAACTAACCAGCCACACTTGTAACTCCTTTGGCTGCACTACTGTGTAAAGTAGCTTCCTAAACTTGGCACTCTTCAGCTATGCAACTCCCAGCAAAGGTGTAAGGCTGGGCTTCTTAAACTAAGGGCCATGACCCCCAGGAAGTCATAAGCAACTTGGGCAGAATCAGTTTAAAAAAAAAAAAAAACCTGGGCTTACAGAGGCAAAGAGGGAGCATGGCAAGATTTTGCTCCTTGCTTTGTCTGAGCAAGCTGGCTGTTGGCTGCAGATTCATCCAGGCAGAACAGGAGCAAGTTTTGACAACTCTCCCTAGGGCTGTCAAACTCTTTCTGCAATTTGATCTCTACCTTTCCTGTTCAAATCTGCAGCAGGTAGTTGCAGATTGCAAAGTCTGCGACCCTCTGTGATTTCTAGATTGAAATTTGATTGTTAAGAGTAAGTGGTACATCTATTTCTTGCCCAACTCTAACCCCAAGAATATTATTAGTTTTATTCATGTAGCATTTTAGTCCTGATACTGCAAAATTTGAGAACCCTGGTTTTCTCTATTGTCTTTTTCAGTGATCACATTAAAGAAGCAAATTCTTAATTTCATCAGCCTTGTTAATCTGTCAGAGTCTGTTGCAATATAGGTGTGTCATATTATACATAGTTGATACTCTCAGAAAAGAATCTATGCACACCTTTTTTCTCAGATCTGCAAGTTAAACCACAACCAAACAGGTTTTGGCCTAAGTTTTATCTTAAACTCTTAGTGATGGCAGAGATTACAGAACAAGGTAATTATGGGTGTGTCTATGCGTGTGCATGTATGTGAGAGAGAGAGGATTTTTTTCACAACTGACCTTAGCCAATCCTTGAGCATCTTTTTCTTTCTTTGTGCATAAGGTCACCTCACAGTGCAGAAAGAGAAGAGAGCTGTTGAATGTGGATTTGAATATGAAGCTAAAACGCTTTTTATCTGTCTGTGCATTTAGCATGGGAAAATTAGGTTTTGGAACGTTGTAGAATTTTACAGACTCATCTTTGGGACAAACATTTTCGATAATGGTATACTCTGACATTCGATCAGGATAGGAATTTGGTGAAATAAAGCAAGTTTGGATTGCAAAGCCCAGGGATCTCTCAGCCTTTGTCAGAGAAATCTGCATGAGAAAGAAAAAAAAAGATTATGCTACATTTAGTGTTTTGAAGATTGCAGAGCAGTACTAATAAAACAAGTTGGTCAGTCAGATGTTGAATACCTTGGTTCCCCCTCCCACCTGGTCAATCCACTACAGAATTAGGAAACTTATCATTCCCCCACAACACAAGGGATTTTAAGAGTTATAGTCCAAAATATCCAGGAGACACTTTTTCTCCTATGGCAACCATCTTTTAAAGTGGAATATGGAATCATAGTTTCATAGGTTTAATGTTCTAAAAGTCTTTGTTATGCTAAGTCATGGTTTCTTTAGGGTTTGTTAAATAAACCTTAATTGGATGGGTTCATATATAATGCTAAGTCAAATGAAAGCTAACTGCATTCTATTTTAGCACAGGGTGAACTAATTACTAAAAGGAATTGTATTCTTTTAAAGTGTGGTGATGCAGATTTGGTTGAGTGTAGATGGGTGTGAATGTTAGTTTTTACAGAGTCAAAAATAATCCACTTGATACTAGTACAGGACATTAAGGAACAAATAGAAATTTTATCTTCTGCCCTTTACATAGAAAGCAAGAGAAAGAGATGAACATTAATTGTATATATAGAGTTTGCATGTGATACATAGCAATTCTTGGAAATTTTTCATAATGGCTTCTATATACTGTAGGAGGAAAGCTGTGTTAGTTTATGGCAGACAGAAATCAGGAGGAGTTTGGTAGCACCTTCTCACACAAACAACTTTAATCAAAAGGCATAAGCTTTCATAACTCATGTCATTGTTAGTAGATTATGAGGATGTAGTATCAGACTAGAAATGCCCATGTAATTTAGGCTAGTGTCAAAATAGAACTGAGGAGACCATAGTTGTTATCTTCACACTTATGAAGCTTGCTCTGTTCCTTTAGGCCAGTCTTTCTAGCCAACCTTACCTCATAGCATTTAGTATAAGAAATAGGATGAGAAGGAAAGAATCATGCATGCTAATTTTTTAAACTGTGTGTGCCCAAGCATGTTAAATCAGTTTTGCCTACAATTTGGAAGAGAAAAACATGAAACAATGGAGTATTATTTTCATGAATGACTGTTATTTCATAGGAGACTTGATGAGGAAGACACACTTTTTGCACTGGACTTGCCATACTACAAAGATTCTTTGGTCTTTACCACAAAAGCATTATCTTATTCAAGATCTGTACAATTTCCTTTTTCAGAAACCACAAGAGAACACATCTGTCTGCCAGAGGCAATTGCACCAGGCCAGTTTAGGACATGCAAGAACAGACTTTGCTCAGCTTCCATGTTCCTGAAAAACATTTCATTGATTTCTGAGTTCAGTACCTCAACAAAAACCTGGCTGTTCTCTGCAACAGAGAAGAATCCTTGAATTGGGGTACGAAAAAGGTCCGTCTCATACAGTTCCATTCCAAAGGTGGCATTGCCAACACGTATGTCAGGTGGCCAGAATATGGGAACCTTTGGGGCTTTCGGTTGATGGAATGTGCAATTGAACTAGGCCGAAAAACAAGATAAATTTATTTAGGAAGACAGAAAAATAAATAAGGGGAAGCAAGAAACAGGTTGTGCACTGCATGTGGCCTCCCAATTACATTTTTATAGTCCCTAGAATCCCTTACAGTCCTACTGCTAAAACACCAAATTTCAGCAGCATAGTCTTCTGCCATTTTATTTTTTAACGTTTTAAGCCTTAGGTTTGAACTAAAATATCAAAATGAGTTGGAATCCTAGTTCCATCCTGTCAGACAATCTCTCCAGAAAGACCCAGATCATTTCAAGTGTCACTGAGTCATGAACATTTTTGAAAGGGGAAAAAATCAAGCTTTCTTCAAAACTGACTTTCTCTCCACTGCTTTGATTCAGAATGATGTTCTCTTCTTATCTTGTTTTCTTGTCTAATCCTCTCATGAATGGTACCCTAAAGTCCTTGTGAATGCACATATCTGTGCACACAAACAAACAATACTCTCTGACCTTACTAAAGCAGCAATTTTAAATCTTCCCTAAATCTATGGCAAGAAAGACAATCTTACATATAGACATAACCAAACAGAAATAAATGTTTTGGTAGGGCTTATCATTTTGAACAAAGAACAGACTGTGAGATAGAAGAAATGAAGAAACCCAGAAATATTGGCTGAAGGGAAGCTTTTATTAAAACCAAAAAGCATATTTGGAAAGAAAAGGTTTATTGGGGAAATACAAAGACTATTCATACTTTAACAGCATGAAAAAAACTGATATTGTTTTGGAATCAGAAGGAGAAGGCTAGTGCTCTAGTTCCTGATCCAGTAAAAGACATATAATGCACAGGTACATGGAAAAGTGTTCTGCTTCCAATCAGCCTGTGCATCATAAAAGTTGTTTATCAAACACTTTGAAAATCGAAGTTCTAAGAAATAATCGTATCAGTCTTCTGAATTCTCAAGCCAAATGATGGATAATCAATACATACCACAACTATTACAGGCTGACTGGAAAAAGTGATGTCAGATTCATCTGTGTCCCCAGGGAAACCATTATCCCCTGATTCCATGTCTTCATAATCAACCACCCAACCACTGGCTTCGGTTGATGGTGACAGCTGGATAACAATCTTTAACCAAATGGAGAAAGGAAAAAAACCAACTGTCAAAGCTGTTTTGGGTCCTGGTTCCATCTCACCTGTCTACTTGATCAGATATGCAAAGAAAAGTTGCTTATGGGAAAGATCTAATACTACTGGAGCAATCTGTTACCTGGTCTTTCAAGCTTATCCTAGCTTTCCATGCAACCATTGTTTGAAATATTAGACCAAGATAAAAACTATGTTTATAGGAAGTAGCCCTTTCTTTCCCAATTTTAGCCTCTTCCAGAGGATATACTGGCTAGAATATTCCAGGATTTGAAGTTCACATAACTGGCAGCTGCCCAGATTGGTGGAAGCTTGTTTTGTTTTATGTATGCAAACAGAAGGAACCTGTGCAAAAGGCTGGCCTCACATGCTCTTGGCAGGGGGATGGCTTAGGGACAGCACACCTTAAATGTTGCAGTTGATTTGAGTTTATTTAAACTGTGATTCTTACTTTGCACAGAATATGTCAGGAATTGGTCAACTGTAAATGAATGCTGAATTATTCCTATTCTACAGAATAAAAAGGGGAATGCGTATGGCAAGTTTCTAAATGATGCTGAACACTGCTCCTGTAGGAAGTTATTGAATATTACAGTTAGAAATGGCTGCCCAAGGATCTGAACCCCTCACCCCCACCCCCACATCTTCCCAGTCAGTCCACTAATCTATTCATCATACCATTCTGGTAAATATGCAAAAATACATTAGGCTTCTAAACCTGGAGTGTAATAGAAGTATCATATTGGCTTTAAAAAGCCATCTGAGTATTGGCATATAAATGAATACAGCAGCAGTTATACTTCTGTTTCTGGTAAAACTATAATATATACCACATTTCAAAAAAGTAATGGCTCATTGAATTGGACTTGCATATATCCTACTTTTCAATAATCATCATAACATTCAATAGGCAAAGAGCATTAACTTTGTACTATTTCAGTATTTTTTTTTTTGAAAAATGCACATTAACAGTGAGTTTTCTTACTTCTTTTCTTTTGTATTTTTTCCTCCCTGCTATACACATTTAAGTCTTTACTATTCCCAACTATGTTTTTTTTAAAAAACAAAAACAAAAAAACAAAAACCAAAACCATTTCCCATTATAACTCCCACATTGGGCTGCATTACTCATTTTCTGCTTGCTTTTCAAACACAAATGTTCCCCACATATTCAACTCCTCTGAATTTCCTGATGGTGCAGCATTTCCTCAACTGAGTTCTACATTTGTTTGCTCAGATGACGGATGGTTGATATGCAAAAGGCACTTCTAAGCTTTTCAGGCACTTACTTCATAATTTTCTACTAGCTTCAGTGATACTGAAATTGATTGGAGTACTAAGAAAAATCTGTGCATTAGATTTCAGGTAGAAGATAAATAGTGGCATGTTTGAGATCAATTTAACATTTAAAGATAGCACTCCAGCTGCTGAGTTGAGATCCAGATGTATATTTTTCCACAGTCTGTTGATCTATAGTTTTTGTTGGGTACATCTCTAGATCCAGTGCCTAAAGCTCTAGCCAATAAAGGATTTCAAGTGGGATTTATTTTCTAAATTGGATCAGGCTACGTCTGATCAGGTTGCCTTAGCTATATTTGAGTTGGATAACAATTTTTTCTTTATTTGCCAACATTGTCACAATGTGCTGAAATTACAAAAGCCAACAGTCATGTTTGTTTACCTAAATTGGCCCTCATCCACCCAAGTCACAGTGAAAATGCTGAACCAGACTAAAGGTAAAAATCTTGCATGGGGCATGATAACTTGCATAGCTGCTTAGCCACTTGGAAAAATCAGTTTCAACCCTTGGATTCAAATTTCCAGCACTGAATATACATTAATATTGAAATATATATATTTAACATAACTTGCATATGCTAGGAAAATCTCAAAGGAAGCATATACAATATGATTTAACTTAAAATATAACTTATTTAGGAGTTGTCAAGTTAACGTATCAGGTTTACCTTCTAAATAAGTTCATGCCCGCAGCTAATATTGAGAAACTACTATAATTATTCAAATACTCTCACCCCAATCCAAAATAACAATAACAATGATGAACTGAAAGATGTCAGATATAGTTCTCTTAAAAATATCTGTCCTTGTTCAGATTTTCTGATTTTTGCATACCTTTGCCACTGAATGTTATCAGAGTTTCATATATATCCTATTGAAACAGAATCTGTGTGACAAACTAATACCAAAGTTTCGCACTTGCTTCATATATCTTCTAAACAAAATCATCCAACAGGCAATGTGCTAGAATGAAAAACTAAAATTCTTTAACTCGTTGCACCACCTTTAGTTGTGCTAACTGCAATCAAACACTTCCTGTTCTCAGTGATCAGTCTTTCACATTGTTCTCTAGAAATTTTGGCCCATTCCTCCATGCCAAACTGCTTCAGCAAGAAACATTTGAGGGTCTCCTAGCATGACCATTTCAGATCCTGCCACATTTTTATTGCATGTTGGACGACTTTACTTCAGAAATAACAGACACAAGATCAGACCCTCTTTATAAGTCAACAGGATCCAGATGAAGTTCTCATAACTTTCAGGGACAAAGACATGCAAACATTCAGAAAATTAGAAGGGGAGCAAGTTCTATTTCACAGAACCGTATAGCCACATTTGGAGAATGGAAAGAGATGGTGCTGCCATCCCACCTCCTTTGCTAGTAATTAGCATTACAATACTATATATGATACCATGTACTTCTGTCAAATGATATTAGAAAGGCAACCTGTATAAAAAGAAGCAGCCAGGAAACGGTTCCTCCCATCTCATGTATTTTGCCCTTCAATGTTTTTAGCTGTAAGTCTGGAAAGGAGATGTAAAGCAGATTCCACTAGCTTTGCATCAGAGAAATAGCTCAGAACTAAATTCTGCTGCTCCTCCTGTTCTGGCTCCTGAGGTCTTCTAGGAGCTGAGAAGCAGAAGGAGAGAGCTGGGATTCTATCTCAGTATTAAGAGACTCACAGAGTTGAGATACACAGTGTTATCCAAAGGATAGGCAATCTGTCGAGTCCCGCAATCGTGCAAAGATGACTCTAGAATAAAATGGGTCCTGTTTGTCTTAGCTCTGCAATTAGGATCCAGCAGAGAGAGCTGCGTCCCAATGAAACCGCTAGCCTAAAAAGAAAGAGAACAAGATACAAGGTTGCACCGGAACCACTGATCAGAACTGCAAAAAACAGTGATAAAAAGCAACAATTAATACCAAGCATTTTCTTCGACATTGCAAAATTCAGTATGATCAATTGTGCTGTCACAATGAGTCTGAAATAGGAAAGGCAGGGCAGCTATCCAGCAGATAAGGAACTGGAAGACCAGTGCAAGCTTAGTCTACCCATTCAGTAGAAGGAAGTTTCAAGATCCTGAGATTGTAAAGTAGACTCGACCATTTCAGAATATAACAGAGAAATGTGATTTTTGAGGTTCCCATCCAATTAGAAACAAAACAAAACTTCCTTACATATATAAAAGCTACCATAGAAGAGAGGAAGGCAGTAGAGTTTTCCATTTCCTCTCTCTGAGATTTCTACATGAATGGACATTTAAATGGAGGGGGATGTGAAAAAAAGAGACCAGCTGTTTGGAATGACATAGTCCAGGTTACCATCTCAAGACTATGATTTTATTCTCTTGGCTAGGCTTTGATCAGTATCTGAAACAAAAGCTGCTCTGCTCAGACTGTGGACTCAGGTGAGTGTCAATACCGTTTAGAGGCCAAAAGGAATACTAATGGCTCTTTATGTCACAGAACTCCTGCCGAGCTGATTAGAAGATCATCCTCTGGTTTTGCTCTGTGGTTCTGCAGAACCGTATTCATCAGAACAAGCAAGAGGAGCCCGAAACAGTACAGAGCAGCTGTGACGGTACCAACCTGACATCAGTATGCATATGACCATGCAGAAACTACAATAATTCTTCTTTAATTATTTTGAAATGAAATTAAAACAGCATGCTAACCTCCAGCGAGTCTTTTGCCACAGCTACAATCATGGATGTGTCATTACATTTCACAGACATGGCAACATCAACACTTCCCTGCACTTCTTCTGGCTCTGGGTCTTTTGGAAGAAGCTGTTCAAAACCATGACTAGCCATGATTGTGTCAATGGTATCAGCTGATGGCAAGGAGCCTTGATTATTCTCATGAAGAAGACCAAAGCGAATGTCTTCACTGAAACGTGTGATTGGAGGGGGTTTAATGCCATGTAGCAGTTCCTTCAGCTCTGGTGGAAGGAAATGGTCTTCCTCATCATTCATCTCTTCTAAAGAAAGAGAGAAGTTAGAAGTAATAATTCCATTCAATTTATTCATAACTAGGGTCATGCACTAGCCTAGTTCCTGCAGCATGTTAAACCATAGTGTGATTTCTTTTTTCTTTTTGGCTTTGCCATCCCAAGAAAGAAACTATGGCCTATTTCTTGCAACAAGCCAATATTTGAGGCTGTTTATGATTCCCAGCTTGTTTTAACCATGACTTGCCATTATGTCTGAATGTATAACTCTGGTTTATTCCTAAATTTGTTTTTAATTCAACTCAGCTCTTGTTTCTGGCAGAAGTAATGAAGAGAAAAATCCCAGGAATTCACCAAATAAGCCAGGATTAATATGCTTATCTGCAAAGTTGACTTTGGCTTGTTCCTGGCTTTCCCAACAAATCAAGGTTATAATAAATGCTTACTTAGCAGTATGCATGAAACAGCTATTATGCTAAGAATGCCATTTAAAATACAATTAGGATCTGTCACTTCTCTTTCTTCACATAAAGCAATAATGAAGGCATCCATTTAGCAGGGTATGAGAGGAAGGAGATACAATCCTCTCCCTACCTCCAACCTGCCCAGTGCTGTTTCCCTCCTGAAAATCTATGCCCCTTTCAGTTCCTAGCACTTAGCACTTGGGGGGGACAAAAAGCAGCTTTGGCATGGTATATAAACTATGAAAGCATGAATTCCCTCAGCATCCTTAGCTCAGGGCAACAGAACATTTGAAAAATAAAGTACAAAGCTGAGAACCATCTCACAAATGTAACATTCTGCACAATGCCTATCAGGTGTCTTCTCAATTCAAGATCTCTGCAAAACTGACCAAGGAGAGCAAAATAATGCCATTGTATTTAATACCATATGATGTTCTTCCTTACCCCTATCCATGAGCTGTAGGTGGAACCTATTAGCAAGAGGTGCTTTTGTATATGTAGTAACTGGGTGGTAGCCGTGCTCATATGCCCAGGTGATCAAACTCTCATGAGAGGAGGGAATATCAAATGCTACAGTTTTACTCATTGTCATGGAGCGTTCAGTCTCTTTTCCAAAGCCAACACCATTTGCTGTCTGTATAAAAGAAAAAGAAAAGTTTAGGCCTGGACAGAGCTTTTCTTATCCATATGAAAGTTAATTTTTTAAAAATGAAAGATTTAGTTAACCATTACTTCATACCAAACTTTGCTTGCTTGCTCATTCATTCATTCATTTTGTACTGTTCAGTCAGAAGAACCCAATGTTTTCTGGTCCACACAAGCAATTTTACCAAAAAGAACAAAAATTATTGGTACTGTGTAAGGTAAGTTCAAACTATTTCAGCTGAGGAATAGCCACATGACAGAATCTAACTGCTTAATGAGATTCTTCTATTGATAACCATATAAAATGGCTCTATGAATTTATTTCATCTTATACTGCATTTTACCATGGCTGCATATAGCAGCAGAATGAGATCCTCTATGCCAAGGGTTAACTGAGAGGAAATACACAGTACCACAGCTTTCTGTAACCTGATGCTCTCTAAAGTATGTTTAAAGTTCAGTTCTCAGAATTTCCAGCCAGTAGGGGAAGGACATAAAAGACAGCATAATGGTTCCTATGGCTTATAATTCATTACTAATGATTGGCAAGGTATGAGAACCTCTCTCCTCTACCACCTGCCCTTATAAGACAGCAGGATTTGAATTAAATTGTAATTTTTAATATCAGAATATTTGGAGAATCAGGGGGGCATCTGCATAACTGAAGATCACATCAAAGTAATCCTTAAGTCTTTGAAAAAAGTATATCCTCCACTATGGCAATGATCACAATTAGAGCAATGAATTAAAGACGGCAATAAAAACCAAACATCAAATATACATCCAAGTTCCTTTAACAGTCTGCAAAAAGCTTCCAAGAAGCCCCAAACCCAGACATTTTAGCAATGTTGCATTTAAGCAGTAGCTGGAAAATGGCTACTCAGAAATCATACTGTGCTGCATAAAAATAAAAATATATAGTACTGAACATGGCGGGATAAGAGTAGGCACCATTTGAGTATAAAGTCCCTTGGTTCAACGTGCATCAGGTTCCTAGAAATGCTTTAGAAAGAGAACTGTTCAGTCTCTGCCTGTCACTGGCTTGGATTTTCAAGTTATTAAACTGAATAACTTAAGCTGTTGTAGCTCTATTCCCATTTATTTCTTCCCTTATGGATGGGCAACCTTTTTGTTCTAGAAGGCATTTCTCAGAGATACTCTGTTGAGAAATCATGGTGAGCAGAACTGAAGCCCAGAGTGAAACCAAAGCCAGAGGCACATCAGACATGTATCATCTCTGTAGTGGGCTCCTTTTCTCTTTCTGACATCCCTCTTTTCTCCTTTCATTTTCTCACCACACCCTCTTTTCTCTCTTCCAAGCAACCCTAAGATTGCAGGTCATCCACCCCAATTCAGCAAGTGCTTTCTCTTTGCCTTTCCTTTCAGTAAAAGCCCTTCATAGTGTTATTGACTTTAAACATACATCTGAGTCTGAAGATGCAATCACGCCCCCTAGCACGGTGTGCTTTGCCTTAAACAAAGCCTTTTGTTGTTTTAGAGATCTGATTTTCTTGAGCAGCAAACCTATCACAAGGGTCATATGTAAACAAGGCGGCTCCAGAATTTAGGCTGCCTTGGTGTCCTCTGATGGGCCTAGCTGCAATGGCAGTGCTTCCACCAATTGTTTTCATTTTTCACAAGGCCCCAAGAAGGTCACTGTGAGAAATGAAAAGGACAGTTACATCCAGTTGCCAAAAGCTGCTCAGGATGCCACGTTTTCACCCTATTTAAGAGAGGGCCTAGAACACAATCAATAGGAGATCCTAACACTGTGGTGGGACCCCAACAGCAGCCAAAGAATGCCAAATGCTGATACTGGCCCTGTCAAAACTGGAGCTACAATCAGTGACAAATACCCCATATTTAGAAATACTTCCTGTAAGATGCTAGGAACTACAATAGTGCTTTTATTGACAACTGGGGAGCACTGCTCTATGCAATTGTTGGTTTTATTGCATGTCACCCACAGTCACATTTGTGAGATGGGTGGCCATATAAATCAGGTAGGTACGGTAGGTAGGTAGGTAGGTAGGTAGGTAGGTAGGTAGATAAGATATAGATAGCTTCATTTATGTATGCATTCTTGGGAGCAGAAGAAATGTGATAGTCACTGAATCCCTTCAACTTTTAGAATTGTAAGTGGAACATACACAGGAACTCTGCATATGTCACCTTGTGTGAGATGGGCAGCTATATAAATATGATAGATAAATAAATAAATAAGTGGAACCCTTTCCTTTCAATTGCTCTTGATATTTAAATAATGATAATAATCATAACTATTATTTAAAGACTTGATTTCTTATTAAATGAAGTGTTTGAAAAAAAGGTTCAAAGTCACTGTGTGCACAGAGCAGGATGCAACGCATCCCTCAGGTCGATAAAGGCTTTCAGAAATGAACGTTGATCCATCCCTCACACAGTAGCAGGCTGCTTAGTAGCTAGGAGAAAACAAAGCACCAACAACACCAGGAAAAAAGGGGGAGACCTTTAGACAGCCATCTGTTATCAGGCCCTTGCTTGTTCACAGAAAGGCATAAGCTGTTAACAGCACTGTGCCTCCTCCAGACTGAGAAGCAGGACTGTATCTACTTACAATGGCTTCCAATTTCCCTTTCACGTCATGTGATTTGATGACCCAGTTGACAGACTTTCTGCACTGGAGGATAAGTACAAGATCCCTGACAAGCGTGGTGTCTGGCCGAGATGGTCTGATGTCAATGATGATATCCACCTGGAAAGCGCTGGATGTGGAAAAGCAAGGCAGAGTGAGCCAACATGCCAGAAAATTTCAGCTCTCAACCTTCTTCCAATCCATCATGTTCCCAGTGTCTGGCCAGTAGATTAAAACACTGGAGGTTATCCCAGACGTCCAGCATGTGCAAAACAGACTGTTCCATCACACTCGCTAGAACAATTTTAAATAACAATGGAAACAACATGCTTTTTACACTAATAATGCTCCTGAAAAGCTTGTCTTTCCCGTTTAAAGATTGCACATTCTCTCCATTTTGGTGTCAATTAAAGAAAACCACTTAGAGCTGGCTTTTCACACCTACACAACACAGTTCCCTCCTGTTGTATCAAAAGTTTTAAATATAGATTTATACCTCCATTCCTTTTGGTAGTACGAAACAACAGTCACCTTGCTGTATCCTGAAGTTACAATTTGGCAAAGAGCAGAATAACAGACTGAAGAGTTCAATCTGCTGGCTGGATTTTAGAAGCAAACTCTACATACGCAGAGTTACTGAATCTTTGTACCTCATATTTTAAATGGTATATAGATATGTTAGCTTTGTTGCCAAAGATTTTGTTGTCTGTTTTAAATCAATACCCAACTCTCCAACTCCTGTGAGCCCTTCTCTCTCCTCTCAACCCCTTTACAACTTCGTAGTATTTCCTTCAATCCCTTGGACTACTATTCTTGTCTCTTTATGCCACCCCCATAAAACTATTCAACTCCTGGTGGATAGTTTTCTTAACAAAAATGTGGATGTGGTCTGCCATTACCTTCTCCCAGGATGTTTATTCAATTTTCTAGTCTAATCTTCAGCATTTCTTGGCTATTGCCTCCCTAGTAGGAATCATGGATTAATCATGTCTAGCTCTCCTTAGTTTTTCTGAGATCAGAACAGATAGATACTATTACCTACTGTTACCTGCCATGACAGCTTATTATGGTAAAAGGTAAATGTCCAACATACAGTCCTGATCTTGGTAGAATTTGGGGGTAAAGAGGACTTCAAACAACTTTTTAAGCTTCTGTCCAATTACCGTGTGCTACATGATGTTTAAGCCAGAGCTCTAATTCTTTATATAGTTGACTTTTGTGCTTATCACAATTTGGCATTAAATCCATCGTTTTAAGAGAAAATACCGCATCTAATTTGATTTGCCTCATTAGATTTATCTTTTGTTTAAAATGTTAGGTCGGAGATGTTGAATTTATGATTTCAAAACATCAGTATATCAATTCTAATTGTAAAATGGTTGGTTTTCTCCTTCCTCTTCTACAAATGTATGGACTTTCTAGCATATCTAGTCTCAGCTTAAATACTTTGTATTTTTATACTTTTTATGCTGCTTTTATAGTATGAGGCTTGGTGTCCTTAAAACTGTCCTAGGGGCTGAAATCAGTTTCTTCTCGACTTGAATAAATGTAATCTGATTGGGTATTTTTACCTGTTTGAATCAGGTGCAATAAGTTCAATTATATGAACTTCTCTATTTTGGGCCACACTAGAGATAACGCATCCCTCTGCTGTCTTTGGTTGTAGGTATCCCGCAAGGTAGTTCAAAGAAATAAAATTCTTTTCTATATTGCATGTTGTAGGAAAAAATTGAACTAAAAAAGAGAAAAAGAGATAAACTATTTAATACATTGGCTTTAATTAACCTGAGATTAGCAAATGCAATTATACAGATTAAATTTGCAGCAGTGCTGAGCCACTAGAAGCTTAATAAAGAAAGGAAATGTACATTCATTCCTTCATATTATTTTGGAAGTTTTTCTGTGTTTGAATAATTTCTCCAAATTTCTGCATTATTCACTTCTCTCTCTGATCAGTCAAAATATTCAGAACTTCATTTAGAAAAGATTCTAAAACTAACATAGTAAGCACAGAGGAAGAAGCCTGGAGAAAAATGTATTTTTCAGCATTTTCCATTTTAGCAGTTCATATAATTCAAGCCTCTTGTTACGCTTATTATACATTTTTGTTAAAAGAGTAATAATTCAACAATTAACATGGATATCCAAAGTTCCTATATTATAGAATTCAGAATTAAGGGTAAAGAATAGCAGAGCTCAATCTCATTTAAACACTATGCTATGGAACACTTTCTCCATTATTCAGAACAGGTATACTCTATTTCACAGGGCTCAAGTTATTTACAATATCACATGCATAAAAATACAATAGACAAATATCCCAAAATACAATACCATGCAAAGCATACATGCGAAGAATGTATTCATTCTTCAGTGTTGGAAAGCCAAACCAATGCCAGATTTACAGTCTTGGATCACTGGTAACTATATATTCACTTTATGATGATGCACTAGCTCTATATCAGTGTAATAGATTAATTCATATAATTCCATGTAGTTAAGATTTAATGATGTGTTTAGAAATTAAACTGATTTCTTATATGTAACATATTTCTTGTTTCCTTTTTTCTTTATTTTCCTCTCTGTTTATTTTTGTGCTTTTCCCTTTTTTATTCTCTTTTTTACCCCTTTTCTCCATTTTTGTATATTGTTGATTGAAGTAATAAAACATATAACAAATATCTCATCGTTCACTGACTTTCGATGTTCCTATGTTCCAATATTATAAAAGAGAGAGAGAGAAATTTAACCTCCATACACTTCCTCCACATCATGTTTAGCTAGGATTATTGTTTTATATTCTACTTTGGGGTCATTATGATTTTCATGAAAAGCAGATAATACTTTTTACGAATAAATAGAAAAGGGGACTACAATATCATGTTCCTTTCCTTGTCTTCTTAATAAACTAAATACCCCAAATGTTGTAAACATTTCCTGTAGGGGAGTTGCTCCAACCTTTTGATTGTTTGGGTTGACCTTTTTTATCCTTCTTTAGCTTTCCAATATCCATCTTAAGATGCGGCAACTAGAACTGAATAGATGGTCATTCACATCTGATCATACCAAAGATGTGTATGAATGGATTGAGACTGGAGTTTTATTTTTGATCTTCTACATCTAAAAGATGGGTTTTAGTCTCCCTTTGCCTTCCTCTCTAAAGGATCCTTTTGTGTAAACCATGAGAAAGTAAATCTATTCAGAATCTGACAGAGCACTCCCCAAACATCTGTTAAGTATCCTGCCAGATGGGATCTCAAAGCTGCAGAGATTCTGCCAACTCCTCCCATTGCAGACAATGGAAAGTAGTCCTGAAGTTGTCCAGCTTGCACTCAGATTAATGTACACAAAAGGCACACGTACAAAATTGATTCTCAATAGTAGTAATGCAAGGTCGTTAAACAGGCAAATGGCTTTCCAACCAGTTCTCTGGGAATATCACCACATGTTTTAACGGGAAACACTATAGGAGATTCTGCATTTTCACCATGTGTTTCTGGAACCTCCTCTTGTTTCAGTCATCAGTACTAACAAATAAATACCTCAAAAACCTGACAGCTTCTTTCACTTTATTGATATCATGTTAAATCATATGCTGTTTAGATTAATTCAGCTACAGGAAACAATCATAGTGTATTAGTAAAGTGCCTACTTTGTAGGTAAAGGTCAAGTCTCCTTTTTGCTGTACTAGACTTCTGGTGATTATATGGACACACCCATGTAGATTTCATGGTAACAAGACCAAACTGCTTTGACATTATGTCCCTGCAGGAGGTTTTGTGACTTACCACTTTAGTCTTCAGCCCAGAGATTCCCTGAGAGTCTCCTATCCAAGGATTAATCAAGTCTGACCCTTAGCTCTGCTAAACCAGTTAGGTGGGACACATGTGTTTTGAGTGTTCCACGCTTGAATTAAAAGAGACAGATTCTGAATTCTGTTTTGGCCTCGGAGCACAACTTGCCTATTGGGAGTGGCCTCATCCTGAATGCTGTGATCGGGCAGTTATTTTGTCGCCTGTGATTGGGTTGCTTTTCCAGAGCAATCATGTCCCTGCTGCTATTGAATTAGGCTGGGGAGGGTGATGTAGGGGGACCACACTGAGTGGAAAGCAGCTGAGATTATACAGGCATGCCTGCTAACAGATCTTGTAAATGAGGGCTGTTTAAAAAAAAACTATTACTATGGGGAAATTAGAGTGCATGTGAGTGGGTGGGTAGGTTTCGTGTGTATTTTGCAAGTAGTTAATGGAAAAGTGTGTGTGTGTGTGTGCACACTACACTGCTCTGGTGTCTTATTATTTTTGTTATTCATGTAGTTAAGAAGCACCAGCAGCCTTTTGTTTATGTTCGTGAGTATATACTTTCAGCAGTTACTCCTATGTGCAAGCAAAAACCTCAGCAAAGGGTAGCCTTAACTGCCAATTTTATTAATAAGGCACTAGTTCAACCTACTCATTTGCCTCTACAATGGTACCTCGGGTTACGAATTTAATTCGTTCCGTGACTCTGGTCGCACCCCGAATTGGTCGCACCTCGAAGCAGATTTTCCCATAAGGTTCAATGTAATTACCGTTAATCCATTCCGGCGTCCGCGGACCACGCGTCAGGG